CCAGGCAAGCTGGCTAGCCATATTGGTGAACTCTGGGTTTGATGGAGAGTCCCTGACTCAGGGAATAAGTAGGAAGAGCAATGTAGGATAATTTCCATTATCAACCTAGGGGCCTCGACATACATATGAACACACAGTCACACACTTGTGGTCCCCCATAGACATGCACAGTAACATGTATACAAAACACCAATATACATATTACATCACAGCACACACATAAAAATGGAAAAGTTCTTTTTAGAGTTTTTATATACTTTAAATTAGGTATAAATGTGTGTGGGTGGGGATATGTCCATATGAGTGCAGGTGCCAGAGGAGGCCAGAAGGGAGCACAGGATCCCCAAAAGCTGAAGTTAGGAATGGGTGTGAGATACCTGATGTGGGTCCTGGGAAGGGCACTCAGATCCTCTTAGGAGCAGTACTTGCTCTTAGCCACTGAGCCTTCTCTCCAGTCCACACATGTTTGACCTGAAAACACTTCTTTAGGCCAGGTGGTGGTGGCACACGCCTTTAAATCCAGCACTCAGGAGGCAGAGACAGGTGGATCTCTGTGAGTTCAAGACCAGCCTGGTCTACAGAACGAGTTCCAGGACAGTCTCTAAAACTACAGAGAAACCCTGTCTTGAAAAAAAACCATAAACAAACAAACAAATAAATAAATAAATAAATAAAACAAAGCACTTCTTTTCTATGAGCTCAGCTCTTACCGGAGGCAGAAGGTATCCCACGAGAGGATTTTACCAGATGTCTGATCCTGCAGAACCCAGGGCATTTTCAGCTCTTCAGAGTTGATTAATAGCTTGATTTTATAACTGTCGAATCTGAAATGCTATTTCACATATGGTACACATGGTGGAAACATTAAGGCTAATTCAGAAAGTTCTGGAAATTCTGTCCAAGCCCAAATTCATTTTTTTTTGAAAAAAATGAAACCCAAATCAGTCACTCAAATAGCAATTTTAAATTCAAACATTCTAGCAATCTAATCCAAAGGTGAACCAATTCATACTGAGAGCAATGGCAGGAAACCAATAAATGCTTGTTTTCCACAATTCAGCCACTGTGTTTGAAAGGAGCAAACAACTTTGCATGCAGTCTGAGCCATAATTCCTAATGTAGGCCAGTCCTAGGCCTCGGCCTGGACACTTCAGGCTCTGAGTAGCAAGTGTGTGTTGCGTGTTCAGAGCCAAGGCTGTAGGGAAGCCATGAGATGCAACGTGGGGGGCGCTGCCAGAAGCATCTTGGAGTCTTACATGATTGATTTTGGATCCTTTTTTTTTTTAACCTTTGCATTTCAGAAGCCTCTTACTGATGCCAGTTTCTCTTGTAACCTCATGTTCAGTTACATGACCCAATACGAGGCTGTGACCTTCAGTTTAAGCAGCTAAAATCAGGGCTGAAAATGCCTCCGTGGGTAAGAGTGCTCGCTGCACAAGTCCTGTGAGACCTGTGTGTCCCAACGTGACGGCATGTGACTTCACATGGAGCTGTGAACCAAGATCTACCCACCCCAGAGGGAACATGGAATAGCGAACAGATCACGGATAGCGGCTGCTGTGGTGCCCCTGAGCTAGTGTTCCTTCTGAAGGGAGACAGAAGTTGACTCCAGGGCGGTGGCTGCACCTGGGAAGGACTGCAGCACAACAATGCATTCATGCTCAGCTAAGTGTGGCTCATTGCTTCCCAGGGGACAATGGACTGAACATGGGTGCAGATGCTCTCAGAGCGCCACGTTCCCCTCATAGCCTGGCTCCCCCCAGGGAAGTCGCTGGCTTTCTCAGAGTCTGCTCTGAGAGACTTTATGTGTTTGAGTAGAATGGTACCAACAATTTCTCAGAGGCTTGGAGGAAGGAGCGAGGGTAAAGCACTCACAATAGTGTCCTACAAGGGTGTGGTCATAAACTTGACTCACTGCTTCTGAAGGGGATAGTGGGACTTGGAACTAGCTGCAGGGATTTGATGGGCCCAGTTCTCTAGACATCTCTTTAGGGATGAGAAGAAGAATGTGCTCTTCTTTTTTCTTTTTTTAAAATTATTTATTTATTATGTATACAACACTCTGTGTGTATGCCTGCAGGCCAGAAGAGGGCACCAGACCCCACCACAGATGGCCGTGAGCCACCATGTGGCTGCCGGGAACCGAACCCAGGACCCTCGAAGAACAGGCAACGCCCCCAACCTCTGAACCATCTCTCCAGCCCCAAGAATGTGCTCTTCTGTTTCTTCTTTCCTAGACACGTTGTCACGGAGTCCCCCTGGAATTATGGGCTGCTCCTTGAAGCCATAACGCCGCACGTGAAGGGGTGGGGCACCAGATCAGATTAGGTGCCTGTTTTATTCTCAAGTGCATCTTTTGAAGTCTGATAGCACCTACTCCTGTTGCCCTGACAACCAGCACCCAACAAGAGTTGCTGGGATCACCTTAAAGAAAGTTAGACAGGGGATGTGGCTCAGTGTCTTGGGGGCTCTAGAGCTCAAGGTAGCTGCATCTCTAAGCATCTCCCACAGACAGGATCTTTGGCCAGCAATGGTGATGTTGGTTGTGTTCACTCACCATCACTACTTAGGCGATGAAATGAGGTCAGAGCTACACAAGTGAGAAGGTGGGATGGACTCCATTTCTCACTGCTAGGCTGTCTGGGAATCCCAAAGAACACACTGTGTAGAGGGAAGAGAGTAGAGAGTGGCACACTCCATTTTGTTTTCAGCAGATGGGCAAAAGGAGGTCAAAGGTCTAAGTGCATCCACAGGACTAGATGAAGAATGATGGAGAACCAGGGACAGAGGATATCTGGCAAGCTCAGGCTGGCTTGCGGGTCTGCTAGACATGGGGTCTACCCCCTCCTTGCTGCTCTCAATTTACATCTCACCTGGAGTCTAATAGTGCCAAGCACAACCGCTTTCACACAGAGCCCACAGCATCCCCTAATGATCCACCCTGCCCAATGCTTGCCTTGGCGAGATGTCTCCAGACACTGGCAAGCAGAAACACAGACACACCGCTGATTTCTGAAAACATTAAGATGGGGACAAGAGAAGTAGAGCAGTGGCAGGCAAGTACCTCAAATCTTTTCCTAAATGGATAATGAAACTGGACCGTAGAGGATTCAAGAACACGGTATAAGAAAGACAGTTGACAGTTCATCTTCAAGGTCAGCTTGTCTGGATTTGGGGTCGCCTGGGAGACACACCTCTGGGTGTGCCTGTAAGGATGCAGTCAGAGAGGTTTGGCTGAGGAGGGAAGACCCACCTGGATGTGGACGCCTCCATGCTATGGTCTGGATGCTGGGGCTGAGTTGAGCAGCAGTCTTCACCCCTCTTCACTTGCTGCCTGCAGATGAAGTGTGAGCAGATGCCTTACATGCTGGATGTGAACGGCTGGATGTGGACGGCTCCATCCTATGGTCTGGATGCTGGGGCTGAGTTGAGCAGCGGTCTTCACCCCTCTTCACTTGCTGCCTGCAGATGAAGTGTGAGCAGATGCCTTACATGCTGGCAGCCTTGCCTTCTCCACCATGCTGGACTACACCCTCAAACAGGAGCCAAGATGAACCCTCCCCTCCTTAGGCTGGTTTTGTCAGGTCTTTGACTATGGAAACAAGGTTGATAGGGATTGCTTGGGCGTCTCAGAGAAGAAAGAGGCCATCTGTGTGTACCCTCCCTGTTCGCTGCCAACCTTTGGGCTTGTATCATGGGAAGGTTGGAAGGGGAAGCCAAGGTCCGGAGCTCTGCTCTAGGAATCATGACCCAAGCACGTTTGATTTGCTAATTGGCCCATATAAGGGCTTTGTCCCTGGCAGGGGTGTATCCTAGGCTGTGCTGGTGCCATCAGTTATCCCGTGTTATCCTCCAGCTCTGCAAGTTGAATGTGTGCTTGTGGGTCTGCTGAAGGGCAGGCTGGGGGTTCTTCAGCGAGAGATGTGCACAGGAAGCACGAGTTCAAATCTCTCGTGGGTCCCTCAGAGAGGCTGTGTGCAGCCAATCACCTCTCACAGCCTCTAGATGTGAGCAGTGAAGACGAACAGATACCAAAGTGTGCAAAGGAAAGGCGAGGGCTGGGCCAGGCACACAGTTGAGCAGGTCACTTGCTGCTACGCCTCGCCTGATTCCAGCTGAGTTCCATTCCCTGAACCTGCAAGGTAGGAGGAGAGAACACATTTTGTTTTCCTCTGAGCCCCACAGGCACACTGTGTGAGGGCCTATCCAGCGCTACTGAATAAATTCATAAAAAAAATTAAAAAAGAAAAAAAGGGTGAGCTAGCTTAAATCGGAGAATGGCTTGCTGCCCCCAGCGCAGACGTGCACCAGGTGCCCTTTCCCTATTTAGCGTCTCTCCCCTCCCCCCAGACTGGAAAGGGATAGAGACCCAATCTGGGGAGACACCCATGCACATCTGGTCACATCTGGTCAAGGGCAAGGTCAGAGCTTAGATTTAAGCTGAGGATCAGTGCTCGTTCTAGAAGCAGGGATGATCTAGCACAACGGTTGCTCAGCTGGAAGGGGCATTAACGTCGCCTGGTGGTTCCATTTTATAAGTTTTGGTTCGGTGGCACTGTAGTGGGTCCGAGGAGGTGACAGTTACATCATGGTCTCGAAGGGTGTGTGGATGGTGTTGGCTAGGAGCATCACAGAACCGCAGCTCTTGGTGACTCTTTAGCATCCCTGTGGATATGTGCCAGAGTGCAGGCAAAGCAGATGCCAAAACTGTAGATGGTTGCCACAGACTTGGGTTCGAATCTTTTTGTCCTCCTGACCATGGGTCTACCTAGCAGAGTTCCCTGGGAGCCACGCCCGGGTCCTGTGGGCTAAGGTAGGTACCCGGTCCTCTTTTGGGATCCAAGCCTGGGCTTCTCTTGCTTTAGCACCAAGTCCTTGGCCGCGCCTCCGACAGTCGGCGCCTCTCCACTGGCCAACGTTGCTATGGCAGCGCTGCAGGCAGGGATGCTGAGGCTGAGGCTCGCACTAGCCCCTTTGTGAAGCGCGGGCGGGGGGGGGGGGGGGGGCGGGGAAATGTTCATCCCACGTCAAGCTGCCCTGACCCTCGGACTGCAAGCCAGGTGCTTGTCGGGGTCGCCCCCACCCCCATCCCGGAGGCCGGGTGCGGCACCTCCGACCGCCAGCCGCTCCTGCATTAAAATTTCATGGGCGCTGCAGTAAATGAGAAGACGAAGTCGACTGCACTGGGGGGCCGTAGGGAGGGAGGCTGCGGACCAGTACGGGGAGGAGTTTACGAGGGGAGGCGCTTGCAGGGGCTCCCCTAGTTTTGTTGAAAGCAGGGCACAAAGAGCCCTCTGCACTCCAGCCGCAGGAGCGAGGAGCCAAGGTAAGCCGGAGTCGCCATTCCCTCTCCCAGCCAGGCACACCTGATTCCTGGGAGGGCGATGGGGGTCTCACAGTCCCAGGGAAGTGGTGGCCCGCACTGGGTGAGTGACGGGACCCCCAACCCGCAATGGCCAGATGTGATGCTCCAATGGATGGGTCATGGGAATTGGGACACGGAGGGTTCTGGGGAGGGGGAGGGTCTCGCAGTCATGGTCTGAGGGGAAACAAAGACCCTTCCCTTCCCCCACAGCTAAATGTACATGGGCTTGGAGACCCCAATACACACCAACCCACAAGGTTAGCAGGTAACTGCCTAGGCCGGGGACTGCGCCCAAGAGATCTCAGCAAGGAGGGTGGGTTAGCTGGTGATGTCCCTGACTCCCCTTCCCTCACACCAGGCCCTTACCCTTCCTCCACTTCTGGGACTCATTCCAGACTGGGGCGTCCAGTGCATCTCCGCACCCTCATTGCGACATCGCTCTGGATGATGATCAGACATCCTCCCTCGGGGAGCCACCGCTTTGGCAAAACAGCCCCGCAAAGTGGTAAGAACCCATTTTAGAGATGAGGAAAAGTAAGTCCAGAGAGGGGTATCAGCCTGTCCAAGGTCACAAAGCCAATGATTTTTGAATCCAAACACGATGAATTCTGAAGCCCACGTGGAATCTCCAAAACGATCTGGGTCCACCCTAGTAATTTGGTTCCCCAACCCTCCTAGGCTCTGAGACATTCTTGGCAGAGGCTGGGGATTTGAGAGGGAAAGGTTCAGACCTCTCTTATCCTGGACACGAACGAGATTATTTCTTGGACAGAGGGATTCCAGGGACCCCGGCCTCCCACTCTAGTCCCAGACTCCCAGCACAGGCCTCCAGGCGCCCGGGATTGCTGGCGCGCACACCCCACTGCGGAGCGAAGTCGCGCCAGGAAAACGCCCCCACCTACTGGAGGGAGGGGCGCGGGGAGCGAGAGCGAGCACAGAGCGAGAACTTGCTGGAAGCAGGTTTGTGCTGCCTTCCCAGAGCGCTCTTCCCAGGAGAGCCTCCGGCAGGGATGAGTAACCTCACTCCCGGGGCTCTCCGCAAGTGAGCTGGTGTCTCGCCACGTGGCCCCACGCTTTCAGCACATCTGGAGCTGGGCTGCGCATCTGGAGGTGTTCAGAATGTCTCCTGCTCCCAGATGGGGTCCAATGTCCCCCAACACTGCCCCCTCCCCGTCACCAACCGAGAAGCAGTGGCGGCAAGCAGGTTCCTGGGTCCACTCCATCGGATCCCTGTTTTGGGAGGAGACTGAACTCACCCCACCCAGAGTCTGGTTACTTTCCTATAGAAAGAATGCTATGTGAGCAACTTTATCTCCTGCCTGCCCCACATTGTGTCCTTTTAGTATTCCTTGCGGTTGAGGTTGAGAAGGGCTCCGAAGTCCTCCCTATGCAGACCATGCAGAAAATTTAGCCCATCTCTCTGCCCCGTAAGAGCGCTGGGGGGGGGGGGGGGGGGCACACCTGATATCTTCAGGGCCCCAAAGAAGTACCCGAATCTTTCCCAGCAGGGTGAAGACAATCTCCCTTACCTTGCATAAAAAAAAAAAAATGAGGCATGGTCCTTGCAGTCTCAGTGCTTGGAGGCCTGAGGCAGGAGGATGCCAAGTTGGAGAATACCCTAGGCTACAAAAGTTTGAGCAAGTGAAGGTTAGAGAGAGAGAGAGAGAGAGAGAGAGAGAGAGAAGTCAGGTTAGCAGTTCACCCCTGCCATCTCAACACTTGGGAGGCTGAGGCAGGAGGATCACCCAAAATTAAAAATTAAAAAAATAATAAATTAAGGCAGAGTGTTATGATGTAACCCAGGTTGGCCTTAAATTTATGATCCTTACCCAGGTATGGTGGTGCAGGAGCACGCCTTTAATTCCAGCCTGGGAGGCAGACGCAGGTGGTCCTCTGTGAGTTCCAGGCCAGCCTGGTCTACAGAGTGGGACCCTGTAGTGTGGAGTCATATTCTTGGGTGTGGGGGGCTGTTGGCTGTGAACCAGTGTCAGGGGCCAATGCTGGGGGCAGACCCTGTTCCACACCTGTCTCCCGGCCCGCTCACTTGTGTGGCATCTGCCCTTCTAGATGACCTTCTGCCTTCTGCTGTTGGAATAGTTGCTTGGGGCACTGGGCCTTTTGTGTGGGTTCAATGGGCTAGTGAACAGCTTGAGGCTCCGCTCTCAGTCACAGCCCCCCCTCCCCAGGCCGCTTTTGAGGCCTGGCTCATTTATCACTCTGTGAAACAATAGTCAAGATGTTCAGAAGCACCGGAAGGCTGAGGGTAACATCTGTCTCTCATTCTTTTCTGCATTGATGAGCTCAGATGAGGCAGGTGTTCCCCTGCCCCTGGTGCCAGGTGGTCCCTCTGGAGGAAGGAAAGGCAATGGCAGCCTTGACCATTGTTTCCCTGAGGGTGCAGAGTAGGAAACAAATAAAAAGGAACCTTAACTGCTCTGTGGACTCCTGAAGATAAGCTACTTAGGTCTGGGAGGTGGCATGTGTCCGTGATCTCACTTGGGCGGTGGAGGCAGGAGGATGAGGAGTTCACAGTTATTTTTGGATACAGAGCAAGTTCCAGGCAAGCCTGGGCTACATGGGATCCTCCCCAATCAAATCATCATCATCATCATCATCTTGCACTTAGATATTGGGTGTAAATCAGAGAGGTAAAGTGACCTGTTAAAGGCCACACAGCAATTTAATTTGGAGTCAAGTTTCAAACCTGGATCTGGTATGTGTTTGTGACAGGTGTGGTGCCACCTGTCCCTTAAAAGGGGACTTAATGACTTACCCTGGGAACACGAAAGCAGCTGCTGTAAACTGACCCCCATAGGCATGAAACTTGTAAATTTCCACAATGTCTGTGGGTCTCTCTCATTCTCCGTGCTGGTTTGTTCTCAGCTCAGCTCCCTTCCCCGGCCTCCCCCACCCCTCCTCTGGCTTCAGGCACTTCCTTTCGGGCTCCACCTTTGCTCAGGTCACTTCCTGCTGATCTCTGGAAACCCCCGCCCCCCAGCTTTAGATCCCCAGAGGCTTCTGAAGCTCAGGGCACCTGAGACTCCAAAGTGGTTTGGGCCAGCGGGCTCTTGTCTGCTTTCTCAGTGTGAGCGACCGAAAGGGCAGGAGAAAGAGAAGCACCCGGGACCTCCGCTGAAGCCCTCCACCTTCTCCCTGGCAGCTCTTCACGGATACAGGAGCCTTGTGCCTTTCTTGGGTGGCCTGGGTGTGCTGGGAGCTTTGGTGTGAATTGCATGTCCTTCCCACCTCTCTCTGAGGGTTGTGGTGATGCCAGTGTGTGTAGTGGTGTGTACCCACTCTTCATCCCCCCCCCTGTGATAGGTGTGAGGCCTGTCTGTTCACATGCACATGGCTGCCGTGTGTCAGTGGTACCTGGGAAAGAAGCAAGTCTTCATCTCCTGCATGGATGCAGGTGGCAGAGGTCAGCCAACAGCTTCTGAGTCTCCCACACCTCAAGGTAGGAGAGACCTATGTCTTCTGGGTGCTAGTCCTTTATTGAGTCTTCTGTAGGTGTTCCTGGTCTTGACTTTGTGTGTGGGAGCAGAGCCGTGAGCCACAGTCTACACCACCTCTGACCGTGAGCATCTCAGCTCTGTCTTTTTGTCATGCACGGACATCTTTTGTAGAAAATAATGCCATAGAGGTGTAGTTAGCTTGTTTTTTAATTAGTGTACAAAATAATGGGTTTGGGGCAGGCAGAGTGCCTACCATTCACAAAACCCTGGGTTTGACCCCAGTACAGCACAAACTGGATGCAGTAACATAAGCCTAGAATCCCAGCACTTGGAAGGTGGATGTCAGAGGATGAGAAGAAGTTCAGAGTCAGCTCCGGCTACATAGTGCGTTTGAAGCCAACCTGGGCTTTGAGAGTCTAAGAAATGAGTAACAGGAGCTGGAAAGATGAATCAGTGGTTAAGAGCACTGGCCACTCTTGCAGAGGGCCCAGGTTTGATTTGCAGCACCATGCGGTGGCTCACAGCAGTGTGTAGCTCTAGTTTCAAGGGATCTGACCCCACTTCCAAACTTCTCAGATACTGTACATGGTGCACAGACATGCATGCAGGCAAGACACTCATATGCAAAAGTTTTAAGAAGCTAAAAAGAAAAAGAAAAACAAAACAAAAAAAGAAACTTCTGTGTGTCCCTTCCTACATGTCCCCTCCCAGGCTCAGCCTTCAGAAGGCCAATGGCTGTGACCTCCCTGTATATCAGTCCTGTGCGGCTCAGCCCCTGCTTATACAGCTTTATCACGATGCAACACCTTAAGGGTGCAACCCAGAGATTTTGACTACAGTTACCAAGTCCTGCAGCTGTACTTAATGTCATTGACGTGTGTCCATTGCCCTAGTGAGATCCCCAAGGCTGCGAGTCCATTCTTCTTCACACCCATTAGTGATAAGCTACTTCCTTTCTCTTCTATGGGCGTTTTGTATAAATTTGGCCACATCCACTACTCATATTCTTAGGTTTTATTTTTAATTTTTGAGAGAGAGAGAGAGAGAGAGAGAGAGAGAGAGAGAGAGAGAGAGAGATACTCATTATTCAGCCTGGGCTGGTCCTGAACTCATGACCCTCCTGTCTCAGCCTCGCAAATGCTGGGATTCCAGGAGGGTACTGCTACCACATGCAGCTTGGACTTGTCTTTTCTTAGCAGAGCCTGCGTAGTTTGTCCAAGGTGTGTCAGTAACCCAGCTCCTTTAACTGCCCAGTTGATGCCACTGTGTGTTAGTATTGGTCTTTAGGGATTTTAATTTGCCCCATGCTTCCTAACTGGAGTGTATCCCCTCCAAGGTTCTATGATGCCTGAGAATACAAACAGCCTATGTTTCTGCATTTATTCTCTAGGCTGAGGGGCCATGGTCACTAACTGGTAAAGATCCTGCCAAGTTTCCGCAATAACAACTCAGAGTCACACATTGCACATGTGGGATTGGAGAGCCACAGCCTCATCCTGGCTTTTCTCACTCCCAAACCAACCCATGGCTTCCTTTCTATGCTATGAGACCCAGTCAGCCTGACCTAGGAGCTCGGGTTCCCTGGAAACTTCCACCGTCCTTGCAATGGCCAGGATCCTGGGTTTGCATGCTGTGACAGGATCACTGGTTTATTTGCAGACTTTCTGCTGGTTCCCAGGTCGCAGAGGAGAGCAGGGGATTGGGAAGGGTCGTGGGCACCCTGTGAAGCAGCCTTACAGATAAGTATCCCTTCCCTAGTCCTGGGGCGCCAGCCTGTTCTCTGCTGGTGCATGTGCAAAGGAGGGTTGGCCCTGGAACCCCAAGAGGGAGGGTGGATGTCTGGTGGATGGCTCTGGCTCTTGGGGATGGCGTTTGTAATCTTGGGTAGGCTCCTTGGTCTTCCACATACACAGAGGCCTCCGCAGTGTTTCCCACAGGACATGTTGCTTCTCTCTGCTCCAGGTTCCTGTGGCAGCAGGCTGAGAATGTGCTACGAGATGCCTCCCCTTCCTTGGATCAGGCTCTGGAATACAGATGTAGTACAATTGTCAGGAAAGAGCAAATCTGAGCCCTGGGTTGAGAGTCAGGGTGTCTCTTCAGTTCTGGTGACTTACAGTGGCCTGGATGAGCCCTGTACCTCCCTCTGACTCCAGACATGTTCTCTGCTGTGGTCTAGGAAGGCTGCTTTCATTCCCAGCCATTGCCTTGTATGGCAGGGCAGATGTGTCTCAGGGTCCAGAGAGAGGGATAGGCTTCCAGCAATGGCAGCAGTACTGAGGTCAGAGTTCCAGGCCCCTACTCTGTCCGGACTCCCCCTCTGCTGGCCCTAAGTTGCCCAGCTTGCTCCGAGTTTTCCTGGATCACTGAGGAAACCACAGTATCCATGTTTGTGAAGGATGCTCTGGGTGGCAGGGAAGGAGGAGGCAGGTGGCTCTTGGACCAAGGCAGGGCTTGGGCGTGGTCCTCACCTGGGCCAGGATTGGCTCTTCTGCCTTCCAGAGGCATGCTGTGATGTCCCTGTGGGGGAGGAGCTAGGAGCTAGGCCTGTGATGATGTCGAGGATGTCAGGTATGAGTGAGAAGTGTGTTTCCTTTTAGGAGGGTGGCGGGTCCTGGGAGCCAGAAGAGGAAGGCTTGCTGTACTTAGCCTCAGTGGGGGAGGATGGACTTGATCTGAACCCCATAGTGGAGGCTCTGGGGGGTCATCATCTCACACAGATAAGAATCTGACCTTTAAGGCCGTGCTGGGTATCCAGAGGAGAATGACAGAGACGTGGTCCTACTCTCTGAGATCTTCAGTAAGAAAACATCACCACAGCTCAGCAAGGGGGTGAGCTCTTTGTCCTGCAGAGTGTATGTGTCCATTTGGGGTGGGGTCTCATCTCAGACCGTGGGGATTCTGGAGGACTGTCTTCTGTGCTCGGCTTTGGGAGTCACTTTGGGCGACCTGCCGTTGGCTTTCTGCTGATCCTTTGGGTGAACGCTGCCTTCCTCTCTAAGTTTATTGTAAAAGATTTGTGTCCCAAGCTCTCCCTTTCGTCCTGTGTGTGTTGGGAGCACAGGTTGCAGATTGGGCTATCTGGGGTACCTCACCTTCTTTCATTGTGCCTCCCCCAGATGTCTCCAGACCCTGGTCTGCTTTGGAGCCCTGGATTTTGACCTCATGGAATGGAGAAGAACCTGTCTTCCTGAAGATGCTGTCCTTTTCAATGCCAGAAATGGAGGCCCCTGGAGAAGGCCATTTCTGGAAGATACATTACTTAGTACCCACCCTGCCTTTGATGAACAGATCCAGGGTGGGAGAGTGGGAGAGGGCACTGGAGGCCCTTTCTGATCCCATGTGGATTGGAATCTTCCTCCAGTGTCTGGAGGTGGGGTGGAGCTAAGCCCACTCCTAAGGACTTGTGGGTAGGGCAGGGACTTATGGGCATGGAGGAGGAGCTGCTGGGGAGGAGCCTGATGTCTGTCTTTTGTCTGTTTTTCTTTTCGTCTGTTTGCTGCTTGAATGGTGGTTCTGTTTGGGTGCTTCCTGGGTGAGGCTTAGCTACCTGCTGGTTGTGGTGAGAGGATTGCCAGTCCTGGCCTGGGAGGAGTGGCTAGTCTCTGGGCAGCCAGCAGGGGACCCTGGAAAGAGAAAGGGTGAGTCCTGAGATAAGGAGACCCAGTAGGGAGGCTTACTGGCAGCCATATCATCTCCAGCTTCCTCAGTCACTAGAGTGGACTATACCCTGCAGGGGCTACGGAACCTTTGCCCAGGAGACAGGGCTGCCCAGACCTCACCTCCATCTGTGTCCAGTAGCTGCCGAGGGACTGAGGCTGGCAGACACCTGCACCCCTTCTCAGGGTGAGGTGACCTACTGTAACCCCTGTGTCGGTTCTCCACTGTTGGTCACAGTCCCTCCTGAAGGAGACGGCTCTCACAGTCCCTCCTGAAGGAGACGGCTCTACAGTGTGTGGCCTTCTTCAGGACAGCCTAGAAAGCCTTCTCCCTGGGGCAAGAGGGGCTGTGGGGCTTGGCAACAGAGACTCACACCCCCAGGCTTGAGGCCCTCAGAGCAAGTTCAAGGTGCCAGAAGTATCTTTATGTTCTCATGTGGCCTTTCTCTGTGTCCAGAGTCAGTGGGCTCCTGGGATTTGTCCCACAAGGACACAGTCATTTGAGGACCCAGGCTTAAGACCTCTTCTGAGCTTAGGCACACTTTGTCTCTCCATACACATTGGGGCTGGGGAATCCAGCCTGTGCCTCTTCGGGGACACAGTTTGGACTCTGACAGGGTTGTTTCACAAACATAAGTAGCTAGAGAATAGAATTCCCATATTGGGAGGAACCGATGAATGTCAGATGGGCCCACAGTTGCGGCTGCTGTGCCTGGTGTCTTGGGAACATGGTGGCTGTAGCCAGTGCAGAGCCAGCTCAGGTCTTGGGGCACCCTCTGCTATACAAATCACCTTGCTCTACCAGCCTCCATTTCCACTTTGTCATGTGGGCCATATGCTCTCCTGGTGGCCCCGGCAGCTTCCAAGGGGTCCTGTGCCTGGTGTTCCATACAATCATGCCCATGTGGAAATTTGGGGAGGTTAGGTTGAGGGCCCATCTGGGTAGGTAGGGGGCTTTCTGACCCAGAGGCATTGCTGCTTGGGTCACCCATGTCTGTCTTCCTGACAAGCCTGGGGCTGCGGCTGCTGTTGGTCTCTCTGGTAGATTTCCATGTTTTCCAGAAGGGAAGGAACTCTGTTTCCTGCTGCCAATATTGAGTCCACTCTGGTTCTTTGCTGTGAGCCAGTGTGCTGGTGCTGTCCAGCCATGCTTTAGACACTGGGGATTTCCTAATCAGCAGGGAGAGAAACTGCCCAGGAAGGGGTAGATGATGGGCAGTCAACAGAGGCCCCGAAAGGGAGAGACCGCAGCTCTGGCACTCTGGAGGGGTTTCCTACTCAGGCTGACCCTACCAGGGCCTTGGAGGCTGAGAAAGGTACGGTTTAACTGAGTACCCTTGGGAAGAAATTAAAGCAAAAAAGCGGGATTTTTCAGAGCCCAGAAAACACTAGTGAGCAAGCTTCAGATACTCAGGGAGGGATAGGATGAAACATTTCCTGTTTTTTTTTTTTTTTTTTTTTTTTCTGCCTACAGAATTATTCTCTTACCAAACCCTGTCTAGAATGCTGGGAGACAGGTTGGTCATCAGTAGTGCCAAGAGTGCTAAGTGGTATAACCAGGGAATGCGCAGGCACCTTGGGGTTGCCTGGGAAGGAAGGAAATTGAAGGGGCCAGAGGTGAGAGGGGTCTCAGCCCAGTTCCCTGCAGTGTTTGTAGAGGAAGGCAGGCCAGGCCCGTGGGAGCAGCCAGAGGCCTGGGAGTTGACGATGGGAGAGATGTCCATTTCCAAGCATGGCAGCTCTGGGGTGGGGTGGGGAGGATAGATATTTGGTGGAAAAGACGCTGATGAGTGTGTGCGCCTGTGTGTTTGTGTACATGTGTGCGCGTGAGAAGATCCTGGCTACAACCAGGGAAGGGGGTTTGCCCTGAGGTCAAGCAAAGGACATTTTCAGCAGAGCTGGAGTGTTTGTGGGGGCTCTGAAACCCACAGCAGAGAAACGGAAGCTCTGGGCTTCCAGCAGGGGTCACTGAGGTCAAGCTTGATTCCTGGAGGGGGTGTGTGTTGAGGGGTGTAGAGGCAGACCCCCTGCCCTGGTCAGGCCCCATGCCCAGGCTGGTGGGGACAGGAGGTCTCTGATGGTGGTGGTGGGGTTTGAAGGGGTGGGGTGCATGGTGTGATTTAACCTACTAACCAACTCAGGGCTCGACCAGGACGCTGTGGCACGTGACAAGATGCCTGGCCTTCTGTCAATCGACTAATCCACTAACCTGGCCTGAGCATGCCCTACTAACCCTGCGGCAGCCAAACCCTACTAACTCTGCAGCCCACGGGCCTTCCCAGAGGCTGGGGCAGATGAGGCTGCGGAAAGCCCTGCCTGGGGCCTGGGATCTCTGTGCAGACCCATCCTGCAGGGCAGGGCACGCTAAGAGACGCACCAACTCTGCTGCTGGGGACTGTGTACCAGCCGCCTACCCTCCGTGGTGGAATGGGACCCTTCTACTCCCCTCGATGCCTGTGGTGGGCAGCGGAGGTGCTGCTGCCCAGCAGGGACTTCAAAATGGAAAAAGACAGGGTGAGGGCAGGCTGCAGGGAACTTGGTGCTATGTCCATCCCCTGATCTCGGGTGTTCTGCACACAGACCCTTCTGCCTGAGGCAGACACATGCTTTGAACCCTAACCCTAATCTTTTCCTGTTCTCTTGTCAGCTTTCTCTCTCATAGGCAAACTCTTTTGATTACTAATTGTCTAACCCTGGGGCACCCCACCTGCACCCCGCTGCCCCTTAACTAACTAACGGCCCCTGCTGCCTTCTTCTCTCCTAGTGGCTCCTGTGTGTGTCTGCTGAGGTACCCTGTCCGCTGTGCTGTGCTCTGACCTACTAACAGGTTTCTTTAATCCAGCCCTGCCGAGCTCTGGGCCTCCTGGGGGCTGGTCCCTCCTTCTGGCAAACAGATGTCCCTGGGCTGACCAGGCCAGGTCTGAGGCAGGGGACAACCATATTAGTGATGCCCAGAGGAGGAGGAGGAGGCTGTCCTGTGGGCGTGGGACGCTGGGCTCCGAGCATGACCTCTCTCCTCTGTGCACAGGACTGGTTGCCACCAGGAGTGGATGGGACCAGGGGATCTTGTGGGAGCCAGTGTGGGGCCTGTGTATCTAGAGTGGGCGATACCGGGCCCTACTTAGCCTAGGCCCTCTGTGATTTGGGCCAGGTAGAAAGCGTTAGGAACCCAGGGACTGGCCATCTTATACAGGACCTCGAGGGTGTATGTTTGAACCTCAAGCTGACAGAATGGCATGCCCTCTGTGGAAGCTGTAAGTGAGAGTTTCCTAAGTAGGAAGTATGTGAAGGGGCCTTTCCCCGTGAAGCCACACAACAAAGTCAGGCATTCCTCAAGTGAAGCCTGAGGAGATGGCATCCGGACACTGCAGTCTGAGAAGAGATGGTCAGTGACCAGTAGGCAGTGAGCCTGAGGGACCCACACTTAGGAAGGACAGACTGCCAGCTGCCATGGTGCACAGGTGTGGAAATGCCTATGGAAAGGGATATAGGTGCCCGGACATGAATCCCAAGGGCCCAAAGGCCACTGGGGAGGTCATACCAGCTGTTGTGTTTTGTCCTGTTAATGCTCATGCCTCTGCCCCAGCCAGCCTCCCCCAGAGCCCGCCAGCTGCTAAGCCAGGGCCACACCTGGAGGTGATTTCATGCCTCACCTCCAGTAGGCTCATGGCCTCTCTGGGCTAACCTCTGACTCCCTCGCACTAACTAGCTTTTACCCAGCTGATTCCTGCCTCTCCATGGCTGCCCCAGGGGCTGACCACTAACAGCCAGCCCTGCCTATTGGGGAGGGGGGCGGCGGTATGGGCTCAGGTTCCTGGCCTGGCTTTGGCCGGCTCCCATTAACTACCCTTCCTCTGGACTAATTCATTGTTCCTTTCGGCAGAAATGAATGGCTGTGGCTTTCTCTCTAACAGGTCTCCTTTCCTCCCGCTATCAACACTAATGGCTTGGATGGCGGCATGGCCGGGAAGGGGCTGGTATAGGTTCCGAGCTTGGTGGATGTGGGGAGAACGTAGCTAATGAGAGTAGATCCCATGACTGCTCTGAGTCAGAGCTTCCAAATGTCAATCAAGGTGGTACCCAGGCTGGGGTGTGGCTCAGGCCAGAAGAAAGGATACTGTCATCTACTGAGCATGTCAGTGGGGTCAGACCTACAGTCAGCCTTCTAGAGGTGTGGCCACTGACCCAATCCCATAATCTTATGACCTGCAGGGGCTGTTATCTCATGGAAACTACAGCCTCAGTCCTTGTAAGCAGAGGTAGCTCATAGGTTCCACCTAAGACACCTGTCTGATTTTCTCAAAGGATTTGTTATTTACAGAATCGCTAGAGACAAGACCAGGGTCTGCTTTGAGTCCTTGTTTGAGAGACTTACAGAGCTTTGTCCCTATAAACACCAAATCCAGACAGAAAAATGCACAAGGGCTGTGAATTCTCCAGCCACTCCCACCCTAGAAAAGCCCAGTTTCTCTAACTCTTCTAAGGCAACTCTTTTACACAGGGTAGGTGCACAGAGGCGAGGGTGTGTGGCTAGCAAAGGGAAGTCCTTGGGGAACGGGAGTAGTAGGGGTGTGACACCAGGCTGAGGGGGGCCAGAGGGTCTTGTTTCACTAAGTTGGTCTGGTCTGCAGGTCAGAGCCTAGAATACTGGAGGCTCAGCGACATTGTTTGGGCCTGTGGGTGGCCTCAGAGACAGGTTGCCTGGGTCAGTGGGTGCTGTGAGCACTGCTTTTGCATGGGTTTAGGACTCACTGCAACAGTTAACCAGCCACCAGCGAGCCTGCAGGAGGCCAGAGCTACAGCAGAAATGGAGGAGATGCCTCTTAGGGAGGTGGGTTAGCATACGAGATAGGGCTGGGACGCACCGTTGGCTGCCCTCTCATGGCCGCTCAGCTTCATTTTACCCACAATGCCCAGGAGCTTACGCAGCTGAGGCTGCCCTGCTGGGACCCTGCGCTGCACCAGGCTCTACTCCCGCTGCTGAGACTGGACCGCAGCCTTCTCATCGAAGGCACTAGTTGTCCTCAGTAGCTGAAATTCTGTGTGGTGGGACAGAGCTTGAGTGAGGCAGGCAGGGGGAGAGCTCTCAGAACAGGCGTCACACCAGCCAAACCTCGATAGGCAGGGCACGGCTGAGTACAAGCCCCTGGTAGCTCAAGATCAGAGAGGATCGAAACAGATTCTGGGGGAGCGTATTAGGTGAGGGGCTCAGGATGGGGCAAATCCAAGGCCTTGCCAGCAAACGCGGGCTTCATCCTTGGGGTGCCAGATGTGGTCTGCACTTGTAATTCGAGCACTAAGGCGCTAGAGACAGATCTGTGGGGTCCACCGGCCTGTCAGCCTACCTCATCATATGGTCTGAGCCGGCGGTGGGGCTGGGGTTTCAGGCTACTTCCGTCTCTTCAGCCCAGCAGGGAGGAGCTTGCAGTGTGTCCGGCCCATATTCTAGACTGCACCAGAACTTCTGGTCACTAGGAAGACCCTTTGGTCCAACTGGGAAGGAGCAGGGTTCATAGTGCTCACCCTCAACCCTCATTGGGGTTCATGAGAGATACCTGGAAAGCAAGGGACAGAGGTGACAGGAACTTAAGACTTAATACAGGCCCCAGGCCCCAATGGTGTATGCCTCCTCCAGAAGATCTGGAGGTGGGAGATGTTGACAGTGGTGTGTGCGTGTGTGTGTGTGTGTGTGTGTGTGTGTGTGTGTGTGTGTGTGTGCATGCATGAGGGGTGGGAGAAGAGAGTATGACTAGAGAAAGTCGAGTCACTGAAGGCGCATTCTCATTTGTTCCTGGGCTGCTCCTCCTCCTCTCCTTTACTGAACTTTAGGCTTGTTTTGAGCAGGAGTCTATAGGCAACAGAGCAGCCTTCTGTCTGAAGGTGTCAATATCTCTTTACAGCCTGACTGGAGGGAGGGGCCACTGTGGATTCTGCCCCAGGGTGGGCTGGTGGCAGGTTGGGAACCCTGGTGCAGTCCTCAGGGTCCCCCAACGGCCTCTCTGGAATCTGTCCTAGGGCCCATTGTTTTATGACAGCTCATCAAAGACGTGTGAATTGTTCCTGCTGGGGAATGCTGAGTGTGGGCCCTGGAAGCCTGCTGTAAAGCCTGGATTGTTCTGTGGATTCACCCACAGTTACTGGGTCTTTTGATGTTCATGCTTGTTGCTGCATCTGTGTAAGATGCCATTTTGATATTAAAACTGGCACACACTGGAGAGTGACTGGTTTATGAGGTGGAGGGATGTGTTGTCTTGGGAAGGGACATTCAGCGGGGCTTCTGAGACAGGGTTAGCGGAGTTGCCAAGTCAGCCCAACAAAAGAAGCACTCCTTATTTTATTAAAACATTTGGAGCCAATGTGGCAGCACAGGGCTTTAATGCCAGCACTCAGATCTCTTTGAATTTGAAGCCAGAAAACCCTGTCTCAAAAAACCAAAACCCAATCAACCTAAAACCATACCAAAACAAACCAACCAAACAAAAAGAAACAAAAATGAGAAACAAGCCACTTGGCTCACCAGGTAGAATGCTTGCTATCCAAACTTGGTGGTGAGTTTAATCCCTGAAACCCACAGTAGAAGGAGGAAACAGGTTCCTGAAAGGCGGTCCTTCGACCTCTCCACGTGTGCATCCTGGATCGTCATCCCCCACGTGTGCATCCTGGGCTGTCATCCCCCACGTGTGCATCCTGGATTGTCATCCCCCACGTGTACATCCTGGGCTGTCATCCACCATATGTGCATCCTGGATTGTCATCCCCCACGTGCGCATCCTGGATTGCCATCCCCCACGTGTACATCCTAGGGTGTCATCTCCCAAGTGTGCATCCTGGATTGTCATCCCCCACGTGTGCATCCTGGATCGTCATCCCTCACGTGTGCCTTTTTTTTTTTTCTGTAATGTTGTGACATGTAACCTCCTTGGTGGAAGAGAAAAATGTGCTCGGTGCACGTCTGTGAAAGGATAATGAATATCTGACACACTCTACTATTTCCCTTGGCAGCACCAGTGACAGACATTACTTGTTGATCACCCATCTCTCTTTGGGAACTGAGGTATGTCTTTAGGGTCTTTTTCAGAACAATGTTTTCGGTAACTATAGTGAGTAGTGAGTCTGCTTTTGGGGTTTTTTTTTTTTTGTTGTTGTTGTTGTTTTGTTTGTTTTTTTTTTTAAACTTTGGAATTAGGGTTTGAATGGATTCTCCTGATGAACGTTTGAATCTGGGCATGACCAATTCCTTACTGTGTCCGGAGAAGAGCTGACTTTCTCTGAGCTACCATTTTCTTTGTATAATGGGGACTGTAAAGTTTTTTTGGCCCAACAAACTTCTTCACCTATGCAATAATCCAAATCAGACCAAATCAAACCAACTTAGAAAAGCCCAGGTTTAATGGATGCCAGCACTCCTGGGTGGCCCTCCAGAGAAACACTGAGAGGGGGAAGGAGAACCAGGGAGACAATGTGTTCATTCTGGGGGGGGGTAGTTTAAATAGCCTGTGGGAGTGGTCTTGACCCTCCCTGGGGAGGAGTTGCTGGATGGTTTTCTCAGAGATGGAGTTTGGACTGCAGCAACTCCCGGGGAGGGGGCTTGGAATGGAACTTTCAATTAAACATTTCAGACTTCTTGTAAATATGGATGTCAGGGGGAGAGGCTGGGGTGACGCTTCCAACCAAACATCCCAGACTCCTTGAATAAAGGGGGCACCGACGTGGGAGAAGGGAGAGTTGGGAGTTGGTGGGCTCACGCTCAGTGAGAGGTGTGGTTGGAGAGGCATCCGGTATACTGCCATCCTGGAGACCTCAGGCAGCAGTTCCTTGAGGGAGATGAGAAGACAGCTGGCTAGGAGAAAAAAATATACTTATTACCAGCCCTATGAATGGGGCTAGCCATGGGAAGAGTCAGTAACTGCCAGAAAGAATGGGACAGAGAAGTGTCCTGGTTGTACAGGAGAGGCACGGGTGTATAAGTGAGACAAGAGAGCAGATATGTCCTTTAAAACCAGAATTTAGTTGATAGGTGTCCTTTTGAGCAAGGAGAGCTGGTACCACATCTGAGAACTGTGTGCGAGCATGGGTGTGTGCACTCAAGACAGTGTTTCTCTGTGAACTCGCTCTGTAGACCAGGCTGGTCTGAATGTCAAGACAGTGTTTCTCTGTGAACTCGCTCTGTAGACCAGGCTGGTCTGAATGTCAAGACAGTGTTTCTCTGTGAACTCGCTCTGTAGACCAGGCTGGTCTGAATGTCAAGACAGTGAGTGTTTCTCTGTGAACTCTCTCTGTAGACCAGGCTGGTCTGAATGTCAAGACAGTGTTTCTCTGTGAACTCGCTCTGTAGACCAGGCTGGTCTGAATGTCAAGACAGTGTTTCTCTGTGAACTCGCTCTGTAGACCAGGCTGGTCTGAATGTCAAGACAGTGTTTCTCTGTGAACTCGCTCTGTAGACCAGGCTGGTCTGAATGTCAAGACAGTGTTTCTCTGTGAACTCACTCTGTAGACCAGGCTGGTCTTGAATGCACAGAGATCTGCCTGCCTCTGCTTCCTGAATGCTGGGGTTAAAGGTGTGTCTCACCACCGCCTGGCTGGTTGGAAGGGTTTTGCATTTGGTCTTCTGGAGTTCTAAGCTTTTGCTTGACCCCGTTGCTGTGGGTAGGAGATGCTAAAGACTATATTTTCATGGTACATCTCACTTTGGCACTTAGGGTGCAACTGTAAATAAACTAGACTTTGAAATCTGTGTTAGATTCCCAGTACAAGAATGGAGATGCTGCCTGCTGCTGTCTTTTGTTTGTGAGACAGTCTCTTAGAGCCCAGGCTTGCTACTAATTTGTAGTACTTCTTGCCTCAGCTTCCCTGAAAAAATGTTTTAAAAAAAGTAATTAATTTAAAGTGTGTGTGTGTTGGATTTTCCAAGACAGGATTTCTCTGTGTATCCTTAGGTGTTCTAGAACTAGCTGTGTAGACCAGGCTGGCCTTGAACTCACGGAGATTTGCCTGTCTCTGCCTCTTGACCACCTGGCTTATTTTTATTTTTCAATAAGTGTATGTGTGTGTCTGAAAGTCAATTTGTAAACATGAATGTAGTACCCATGGGGGCCAGAAAACATGTCAGATCCCTGTGAGTAGATGAATTTGAGCCACCTGATATGGGTGCTAGAAATGGAATTCAAGCCTTTTTTAACTGCTGAGCTATCTCTCCCAGCTCCTACAGATGCTAAATTCTGAGAATAACATTCTCTGTTGAATGCCTGTATGACCACTTTCTAGGAATTTGAAAAGGTCAACTCATGTCCTGAAGTTTCTGGTCCTAACGTTTGGACAGGGTCCTTATGTGAGGAGGGCGCATGCTCCAGCACTGTGTTGTCTCCCTGTAGGCTTCTCATCTCAAGATGCTGGGGAGGCGACATTCTGACTCACGATCCTGCTACCCTAGCCTCTTGGTGCTTATGTTACGGGCATGAAAAATAAATTATGGGCACATATTTTTATTTTATGTGCATGGGAGTTTTTTTTCTGCATTTTTATATGCCCACCACATGCATGTCTGCTGTCCAAGGAGGCCAGAAGAAGAAAGTGGATCCCCTGAACTAGAGTTACAGCTGTGAGCTAAGGTGAGGGTGCTGGGAACTGAACCTAAGTCCTCTACAATGTAGCAAACTCTCTTAACTGCTGAGCCTTCTTTCCAGCCACCTCTATTTCTTGTCTTTCTTCTTTCTTTTAAATGTATATACTGTGCATTTGTGTGAACACATTCCACATGTTTGCAGGTGCCCGTTGGAAGAGGCCAGACAAATGCATTGAATCCTCTGGAGCCAGACTTGCAGGCAGTTGTGAGCCTTCTCTGTTGATGTGGGAACTGGAGTCAGCTTTACATAATGATTTATTTATTTTGCTAGTTTTTCTTTTTATTAAAAGTTACAAAGAAATATAACAAGAAGGTATGGCAACTCTCCTGGATTTTCTCACTCAGCCCCAACAATTACTAGTTCATGACCAATCTTGTTCCATCTGCAACTTTAAACCCACTTTTATGGGATTTTATTTTCTTTATTTTATTCTGTTTATTGCCCCTGTGGTGCTGGGAGTGGAGGCCAGGCTCTTCTGACTTTAGGCAAATGCCATGCTGCTGAGTTCCCTCACTAGCCTTTGTGTACTTCAAAGGAGATCTCAGGTGTCATCCAGAAATACTTCAGGATGTATCAAAGATACATGCCATGTTTTCTGAAAGTATTTCTTACTCAGAGGAAGAAGGGACTTTATATCTTGGCAGTTGCCTTCCTCATGGTGGCGAGAACTCTTGCTCAGTTCCTCTCCCCCCTTTGCTTTTGGTGTGGCTGTATGTTCATCTGTCCTTTTCTTGATGAATTCTGGGACCTGCTTGTCCTTGGCTACACTGAGCAGCTCCAGAGCTCACTGCTGATGGGGAGCAAGCCACACACCTCCCATATGAACTTGGTGTGTTTGGTGAGGTGCCTCCAGCAGCCACTGTGCCTGGCTTGCCCTTGTTAAAGTCCACAGCCATAGGGTAGCACGGAACCATGGCTGCTGACAGCAGTAAGATACAGGACTGGAAGCCAGACTGTTTGGTCTTCTCTGGAATCTTCAGCTTGCTTGCCATCCTCCAACCCACCTTTGAAGTCTGCCCTGACAGCTTTTGGTGTGTTATCATTTGTTTTGGAACAGGGTCTCGCCATCTAGCCCTAGTCTGGTACTTGCTGTGAAGACCAGGCTGCCCTTAAACTCAAAAAAGATCCAATCTGCCTCCTCAGTACTGGGATTATAGGCATGGGCCTCTGCACCTGCCATGTTTGTTTTGAGGCAAAGTCTTACTATGTAGCCCTTGCTGGCCTGCTATGTCAACCCAGACGTGCCCCCAAGTCAGGAAGATCCTCCTCCCTTGCCTTCCCAGTGCTAGGCTTTAAAGGTGTGTGCTACTGTGCCTGGCAGTGTGGATTTTGCTAGCCTGAGCACTGTTTTGGTTTTCTTTTTTTTTTTTAAATAAACTGTATGTTTACATTTTGCTGTCAAAATTTTTTAAAAAGTGCCACCATTTTAGATAGTATAAGTTTGGCAGTTTGCACTGGGGCTGCCTGTAGCTCTGTTGGTAGAATGCTCACCTTGCATTCATGAAGCCCTGGGTTTTATCCCATGCACCATATAAACTGGACTTGGTGGCCCCTTCCTGAATCTCAGCCCTGGGAAGGTCAAGGCTGGGGGACCAGAAGTTGAAAAATGTCAAAGCAGGGAGTAAAACTATTATTGTACCTGTATCCTCATTTCCAAGCAGTACTGCCTCTTGTCATCTACTTTGGGTTTTGGCAGCTCTGTTGGGGCAAACCCAGCAAATATCCCACAGCTAGCTACATAGATTGATCTAAGTAAAACTGTAAGACCCATTTGGGTACCTGTAGTACAAGACCGGCTCCAAGTCCTCCTTGTTAGTTCTTAAGCTGAGTGAGGAAATAGAGTTTAAGTCGTGATTTTGAGGAATGCTAATGTGCAAAGATTTCTCAGAGTGATGTTCAAGCAGTAAGAGCACAGATGAGCTAAGGCTGAGCATGTTAACGATGTTTGTGTGTGCATGCTGCATGTTCATGAGTATGTGTGCACGTATGTTAACGATGTTTGTGTGTGCATGCTGCATGTTCATGAGTATGTGTGCACGTATGTTAACGATGTTTGTGTGTGCATGCTGCATGTTCATGAGTATGTGTGCACGTATGTTAACGATGTTTGTGTGTGCATGCTGCATGTTCATGAGTATGTGTGCACGTATGTTAACGATGTTTGTGTGTGCATGCTGCATGTTCATGAGTATGTGTGCACGTATGTTAACGATGTTTGTGTGTGCATGCTGTATGTTCATGAGTATGTGTGCACGTATGTTAACGATGTTTGTGTGTGCATGCTGCATGTTCATGAGTATGTGTGCACGTATGTTAACGATGTTTGTGTGCGCATGCTGCATGTTCATGAGTGTGTGTGCACGTATGTTAACGATGTTTGTGTGCGCATGCTGCATGTTCATGAGTGTGTGTGCACGTATGTTAACGATGT